TTTGATTGAAATTGCTTTAAATTTTAAGTCAATTTTGAGCAAATTAGCATGTTTGTAGTATTGAAGTTTCCCATCCACAAATATAGAAGTGTCTCCATTTAGTAAAATCTTTTTTTTTTTTTTTTTTTAATGTATCACAGTTAAGTTTTGTAGATTTCTTCATTTAATCCTGCACATTTCTTGTCAAATTTATTCCTAGGCATTTTATATTTTTGTTGCCTCCATAAATAGTGCTTTTCCATGCTGTATTTTTTAACTAGTTATTGCTGATTGTTGATTATAGATCTTTATTTTGTAACCAGACATCTTTCTGAATTTTCTTATTTGCTCCAAATTATCTTTTAATTCATTCTCTTTGGCTATTTAGATGTATAGTTAGATATGCAGGTAATGTTTTTTAGACCTTTTCCTATAGATTTATCTCTTTATTTGTTTTCTGCCTTACTGCATTGGCTAGAAGTTATAAAACAATATTGAATATAATGGCTCTGGACATGAAGATTGCGTTTTTAATGGTGGAATTGTATGCACTACAGAGCTTGGGTGGGTGGTTAGGGTTGTACTTTTGAATTGCTGTTGTTAGCTGCTGTTGAGTGACTCATGGTGAGACCATACACAACAGCTGGGTGTTGTGCTCCATAGAGTTTTCACTGTCTGATTTTTCAGAAGTAGATCACTAGGCCTTTCTTCCTAGACTGTGTTAGTCTGGATGCTCTACTGAAACCTGTTCAGCATCATAGCAACACGCAAGTTTCCACAACAGGTAGGTAGTGGCTGTACTTCAGATGCATTGGCCGGGAATCGAACCTAGGTCTTCTGCACGGGAGGCAAAAATTCTACCACTGAACCACCAGTACCCTTTTGGATTAGACCTTCCAAATATTTCTCAAATACCTAAGTCTGTTCATACTCCTGGCTGTTCCTGTCCCCTGCCCCCAACTCAGCCTCTTTAGAAGTGAAAGGTACAGAATGAGAATATATGTGTGGGAATGTTGGACCTTTATGTGATGGGGGTAGCAGTGGGGAACAAAAGTGGCAAATTTCAGCCACTCTGGTTTTTGCTGCATCTTTTCTGGACATGTTCATTCCATGGGCTGTGCCAGGTTAATGAGGGATGCTGAATGGACCAGCTAGTCCTTGTGGGCATCAACCTTGCCTAATGAATTTATTTATTTTATTTTTTCCCCATACAAAAATTTATACATACATTGTTATGTGACTTTAATTGCTCTCCCCATACTGTGACAGCACGCTCCGTCTTTCCACCCCTGCTTCCCCATGTTCATTCAACCAGCTCCTAACCCTCTCTGCCTTCCCATCTCACCTTCGGACAGAAGCTGCCCGTTTAGTCTCTTGTATCTACTTGAGCTAAGAGGCAC